TGTGTGTGTGTGTGTGTGTGTGTGTGTGTGTGTGTGTGTGTGTTTATTCCCAGACATAAGCAGGGTAGCAAGTGTCCAGAGGATAGAAACACCTCTCCCTTACTGCTTAGGAAAGTTTGATTAAAAATAAAAAATTTAAAACTCTCCCTTTCCCTTTACACCAAAGAGGAATGTCGATACACTGAAATCAAGGATTCATGCAGAGTTTATGCAACAGAGTGTGTTGCTGGCCAAGGAAGAGCAGAGGCAGTTGCAGAATCTGGAGAAGGACGAGAGAGAACACCTGAGAATCCTGGGGGAGAAAGAGGCTGAGCTGGCCCAGAAGATCCAGGCCCTGCAGGAGCTGATCTCAGAGCTGGAGAGGAGGAGCCGCGGCTCGGCACTGGAACTACTGAAGGTGAGACCCAGACAGAGGCTCAAGGCATAGCTGAGGAAAGGCCAGAACTCTCTAGAACCACCCTTAGGTCATTCCTTGATCTTTGGAATGTTCTTAAGAAAACTGAAATCTGGAGCCAGGAGTGGTTTGCACTTGAGGAATAGCAGGGTACCAGATATAAGAGGTGAACATCCCTGGTGCCTACCCTAACAAGTGCCAGGTGTGGGACCTTGAGCCAATTTCCTTAATCTTCCTGAGCACTAGGGCTTTCATGGTACAGAGATATACATCATTACCTATCTCAAGTGATTTTTAAAGGATTAAATGAGAAAATCCAGTATAGCTCTTAGACGGGTAGCCATCAGAATGTTTTTAAAAATACAGTTTTTAAAAACTGGACTGTGCCAGCTCTCTCTACAACTAGGGTTATGGGAATAGAGCAAACTGTGTTCCTGTCCTATACCCAATTTCTCCATTTAGGAAACCAGAGAGGGAGTGCTTCTAACAGAAATGCATCATCTTTCCATTAATCCTTTATGCTGTGTATGAACAACCTACATGATTTTAACATGTTCTACTTCTTCAAATTGTCTCGCTCTTTGCCCCAAATAAATTTGCCTTTAAAAGTTTTTTTTCCAAAATGTGTTGATGCTACTGGGTTGTTTTTCTTTTTTCTTTCTTTTTTTTTTTTTTCTAATTTGTTCTATAGCAATAAAAACTGCAGACTCCTAAACAGCACACATATGACTTGCCAAGCTTCAGGTGGATGCTACTGTGATCCCATTTCATGGATGAGAAAACTAGGGAGCAGAAACATGAATAGACTTAGTGAGATTAAAGTCAAATGATGTAAACTCACTCAATTAGTAAAAGTTAAAATTAAGATGAAATATGCGTATAATTTTTTAATCAGTATTTAATCAGAATTTTTTTAATATTCTAAACTTGTCTTGTGTGCACCCATGATATGTTAGCTGCACTCTGTAAAATTACAGACGAGGTGATTTCAAAAGTCCTCCCTACCTGAACATTCTGTTTCTTTCCTCACATCTTTCACTGTTCTCCAATAAGATGCATAAAGACATTTCTTCCTGTTTTGTACAGGAAAGCTAATTATATTGATTTGACTTGGCGGGTTCTCTCTTGCCTGACCCGAAACTGAACTTCCTAGTGCCTTTCGACTATACCTTGGAGACTACCAGTTCTAACATAATGGTTCTCACTCCCTGGAAACTAATCTCACTTGACCTGACTGCAGACACGGGAGGATTAACCACGGCTCTGGACAGTTTTAACTGACTAGCTCTTCCATCCCAAACAGCTCAATCCCACAAGTGACAGGGAACTTTTCTGGGCACCCTGCCTCAGCCATTCTCTCCCTGAAACCACCTCTGGGCTTCTGCCAGCCTGTGCTGATTATTTTTTCCTCTTTTACTCTTCTCCTTGGCAAACTTCTCTCCCCACAAGAACCTAGTCAGTCATTCTAATTTATTTTCTGAACCAGTCTTTAAACCCCTGGTCCTTTCCCTGGTTGTACCCACGATGGGTTTCTGGTTATGCTACAGCAGTTGTACAGCCTTTTTCATAGGAACTAGTCAGAATTATCCTTTGAGCCTTGACCCAAAGGAATGCTGCAGAGCAGAGCCCTAGGGACTACAAGGTTATCACATTATCACAGGACTGAAGTCTCAGCGGCAAATCAGAAACTCCAGAACTCATTTTCTGTCTCTTTTCTCCTCAGGAGGTAAAAATTGTCCTGGAAAGGTAAGGAGAGAGTTCCTCTGTTAGAAAATGGGATGCAGGAAGTACGTATGCCCAGAAAAGGGTTCGTAAGCTGGGCATGCGTGCATTCGACTTTTCCCCAGGCCTCCCTATTCCCAAAGACCTGGTCTTCTATAAAATATTTTCTGAACCCAAAGGCTAATGAACATCTCAATTGATGAAATGCCCAATGTAATTAGACTATATAATCTTCACACATTAAAATCTGGCCCTCAAAAAAGAGCAGGGAAATTCTGAGTCTCTCTCTCCTCTCTCCCTCTCTCTCTCTCCTCTCTCTCCTCTCTCCCTCCCTCTCTCTCTCTCCTCTTCTTCTATAAAATATTTTCTGAACCCAAAGGCTAATGAACATCTCAATTGATGAAATGCCCAATGTAATTAGACTATATAATCTTCACACATTAAAATCTGGCCCTCAAAAAAGAGCAGGGAAATTCTGAGTCTCTCTCTCCTCTCTCCCTCTCTCTCTCTCCTCTCTCTCCTCTCTCCCTCCCTCTCTCTCTCTCCTCTCTCCTCTCTCCCTCCCTCTCTCTCTCCTCTGTAGGTAGAGTCAACATGCTCAGAGGTTTCTAACACATCGAGATGCAAAAAGCATATGTATTCAATGTATATGCTAATGTATGGAGTGGACCAACTAAACGTATTTCTCTCTCTCTCTCTCTCTCTCTCTCTCTCTCTCTCTCTCTCTCTCTCTCTCTTTCTGCCTGTTACTTGGACACTTGAATGCATGAGTTTTTTGTACATTTGGGTTGAGTTAAATAATCAGAGTCTTCCAGGAAGGCGATCATTAGGGCCTGGGGTCAAAGGTAGGAATGGAAAATAAGTCAAACTCCCTTTCCCCCAGGAGTGAATCCTGGAACCTGAACACACTGGACGTTGCCTCCCCGAAGCTGACAAATGCCTGCCATGTGCCAGGGCGGAAGAAGATGCTGAAGACATGTTGGGGTAAGATAATTTCTAAAAGTTGTGGGACTAGACAGAAGGGCGATAATGAGCATGCAGAGTGGATGGTGGGGTCATAGAAGCACAGGGCAGCATGGAGGAGAGGTCGCAGGTGAGTGTAGATGGGGCAGAGACAAGTATGTTCACAATCACCCTCACCTTTGAGTTTGCATGAATCCCCTCCCTACGGACAAAGGGTTACTGGCCCCACACAGGCATAACCGTCTCCTCTTTCTGCAGTACATATTACCCTGGATGGTGACACAGCCAACCCTTGGCTCATCATCTCAAAGGATCGGAGACAAGTGCACCTTGGAGACACCGCTCAGAACGTGCCCCAAAATGACAAGAGATTTGATAATTACCCCATGGTGTTGGGTGCCCAGAGCTTTACCTCTGGAAAGCTTTACTGGGAGGTAGATGTAACAGGAAAGGAAGCCTGGGACCTGGGGGTCTGTAGAAACTCTGTGCAGAGGAAGGGGCAATTTTCACTCAGTCCTGAGAATGGCTTCTGGGTAATTTGGCTGTGGAAAAGTGAGAACTATGAGGCTGGCACCTGTCCCCAGACCACCCTCCACCTTCTGGTGCCGCCATGCCAAGTTGGGATCTTTGTGGACTATGAGGCTGGCGTTGTCTCCTTCTACAACATCACAGACCATGGCTCCCTCATCTACACCTTCTCTGAGTGTGCCTTTGCTGGACCACTGCGGCCCTTCTTCGGTATTGGTTTCAATGATGATGGAGGAAATTCAGGACCTCTAAAGCTCTGTGCACTAAAGATGTGATGATCAGGAGCCAGTGACCACTGAAGGCTCTTTCTGGATACTGTTACCACTCCTTGTCCTGATGATCAGGAGCCAGTGACCACTGAAGGCCCTTTCTGGATACTGTTACCACTCCTTGTCCTGACGATCAGGAGCCAGTGACCACTGAAGGCCCTTTCTGGATACTGTTACCACCCCTGTTGGGGCCCCTCCCTCAGTCATTCACCCTGCATCTTGCTCAACAACTCGGGATCACCACCACCCCCAACTCTACAGAGGGGACAGGATCTCAGAAAGCAGGAAGGTGACTAAAAGTCAGTGTTAACTTCAACATCAACACCCCTGACCTAGATTCTTAATGATTCCCTCCAGTGAAGCAGACTTTCCACATGTAGCCCAGACTCCTCTGACTCAGCCAAAACCATGTTTCTGCCTCTTTTATCTGACTTGTGTTCCTTTCTCTATTTCTAGTCTATTACCTTTGACCAGATGTTTATTCCTTTATCTTCCATGGCTTGCATAAAGGGGTTCCTTTAAAAATGTGTCTTGGTCTGTCTCATTGAACCCAAAATATGCATCTTTAACATCGTACGTTTTGGTTTGATTCAGTTAGCTTTTTGTTGCTGTTATTGTTGCTGCTGCTGGGCTTTTCTCCCTTCCTGGAAGGTTCTACCCACTTATTCATCTGTAGACCCAGGTCAAGAATATCTTCCAGGGTGACAGAACCAGAGCTAGGCCAGGGTAGTAGAAATGGATCCAACTCGAGCTGAATTTAACAGTGAAGGTATACTTGACTTCAGTCACCAGTAGTAGCCTACCATGGCATGCCAACCTGATCAGTGAGTCTCTGCAGTTGGATCTCACAAAGATGTGCTCAGGGGCTGCCTGTTGTCAGTTTATAGATATGCTGATCCCTGATTCCATCACCTTGAAGAAAATGAAATTCATAGCAGATCTAGAACACAAATATATCCAGAACTTCAAAAATACTACAAGAATGTTTTAGGACGAAAGGTATTCGCAAAATAATTCTAGTGGATAAATTAGTACAAGGTATGTTTCAGGACAGTTTTTAACTCACTCGGTAGTTCAAGAAGTGTTTTGATGCATACTATAATGGAAGTGATTATGACACAGTAGCGGCCAAAGTCAAGACTTAGAGTTGCTCGTTCCCTTGTTGCTCCAGCAACAAAGGAAACCTCATGCTCTAGCAGTGAAGCCACATGGAAACCCATTTCAGTGCAGAGAACTTGTGCAACCCCTAAAGTTGATCTCAGAGTGATGTGAAAGAATCCTGGTGTGGGCAACAGAGATGGGCAGCAGCCCAACTGATGCATCAGGTCAAAGTATTGACGCTTACTGTCAAAGACTTTAAAAATAGAGAGAGGTGTCTATTGTAGAAAACTAGAGAACATTGAGTTAATTTGCTAGGAGAATGAGGGGGAAGCAGGTCTGTATTCTCTATGCTATAGATAAAAGCTATTCAGAGGTCTGTATTCTCTATGCTATAGATAAAAGCTTTGTGACTCCTGATGAAGGGGGCCAAGGTGGAACAAGAATATCAACAGCCTGGACCGGGAGAACAGCATCTGAATGTCTTTACTCCAAGTCATGTGCTTAACGGTATAATGTTCCCTTTTATTATTTATTCTTGAGAGAGTCATTAGTAAATCTTTTCTCCATAAGCAAAAAAATAATCTTAAAAGTATATTTTGCAGAAGTTTCCTTCCGGCTACCAATAACTTCAGAGTAGAAGCTTTTACCTTGCAGCAGAGTAGTATTAATGTCTACTTAGGTCACCTAGGAAACAAAGAGGCTGACCGTGGGGCTCTCTTTGCTTGGTTTGCTGTTTGCTGGAAAAGCTGTTTTTGTGCACTGTACCAAGCTGGTGACATCAGTAGAGAAATGTAAACACTGAATTGAATTTTAAACTAATGTGAATCTTGGCAAAGAATGTTTTGATAAATAAATGCCTTAGAGTATTTAAAATATGCTTCTGTATTTTAAAATATAAAATGAAATCTGACAGATTCCTTAATTTTCTTTTCATTGATTTTTTTGTCAGCATACAAAGTTGTAAGTTTCATTTATTACATTTTCATACATATATATATATATATATATATATATATATATATCACTGTACTCTGGAACATTTACCTCCTTCCACACTTGTCCCTTCACCCTCACCCACCCTTCCCCTACCTGGTCCCCCCCTTAACTTACATGTTTATTTCATTTTTTGTTATATTTAGTGCATGTGTGCCATGGGGCACCTGTGGAGATCAGAGGACAGCTTGCAGGAGGGAGATCTCTTTTTCTACCATGTGCGCCTCAGAGATCAAACTCAGGTTGTCAGGCTTGGCAGCAAGTGCCTTTTCCCCACTGATCATCTTGCTAGCCCTCATGTTTTTTATGTATGTATGCTTGTATGTGTGTATATTGTTAAATCTAGAGTCCAGATATGAGAGAAAGCATGCTATTCATTTTTCTGAGTCTGGCTTATTCCACGGAACATGGTGTTCTCCAGTTCCAGTCCTTTTCCTGACATTAACATAATTTCATTCCTTTTAATGGCTATATGAATCTCCGTTGTGTACACACACACACACACACACACACACACACCAGTATGTGTCTTACATTGTTTCTGGGAGAGACAACCAGACTCGGAACTGTGGAACCTGCTATCACAGCTTTACGGGTCCTCTTGAATTACAAGACTAGTCTTTGGCCCCAAATTAGTGTTCAAACTGTGTTTTATAAATCCAACTGGTGTCACTACCCATTGCCTGAGTGAATAGCACATTGTGTGATGTTTGAGGTGAATAGCTCAGTTTTCACTGTGTTCCTCTGATTATTTTTCACATTATCCCCCAAATTTGTATGCATTTTGTACTTTGAGAAATGAGCTATGTCTAGTTTTTTTGTTTTTTGTTTTTTTGTGGGTCTTTTTTTTTGTCTTTTTGAGACAGGGTCTCCCTGCAGCCTCAGCTGTCCTGGAATTCTCTATGTAAACCAGGCTGGCCTTGAACTCAGAGATCTGCCTGCCTCTGCCTCTGGGGTGCTGGGATTAAAGGTGTGCGATACCACCCCCGGCTAATGTCTAGTTTTTTTTAACAACTACTTTTGAAAACTTGCCTACACCTCTGGGCTTTAAATGGGGGTTGTATCCCATTTTACTCTTGTTATATTTAAAAGATTTCTCTCTTCTCCTTGCCCAATGGGGAGTCTGCATTAGTCACTCTTCTGTTGCTGTGATAGAAACACTGACCAAAGCAACTTAGAAGAGTTTATTTGAGCTTACGGTTCCAGGGGTATTACAGTCCATCATGGCAGGGAGGCATGGTGGCTGGAGGTGGCTGGAGCAGGAGCAGCAGAAGCTAAGCTCTCACATCTTCAATCAGGCACAGGAAGGAAGAGAACAACTTGAGATCCAGCAATGGAGTTCTATTCAGCAGTAAAGAAAGATGAAGTAATGAAATTTGCAGGTAATGGATGGATCTAGAAATTGTTATACTAAGTGAAGTGCACAGTCTCAGAAAAACAAAAGAAGTATGTTCTCCCTCATTTGTGGATTTAGTAAGATGATGCTGTGCAGAAGTCTCTTCTGTGTGAAATAACTACCATCATCTCAACTTCAGCTGTGCCTGCTTGCTAAACATCGTCACAGCTGGGTTTGTTGAAGGTTGCGCTCCTTCATTAAAGGAGCGGCAAGCAAGGTATCCAGAGTATCCAGCCACTCTTCCCAGCCAACTGTATGTAATTTGGCCCTAATCATACCTGGTCTCCTGGATTTAGGGAGGACTATAGTATATAATCTGGGGAAGGCTAGGAAGAGAAGGCTTGATCCGTGCTGGGTAAAGGCTTTCCACTGTGCATACCCCAGGTCACTCATACACCTCAGCAACCCCTCAGTCATATCTGTAAGTAAGCTCAGTAAATTCATTGGTTCCCCAGGGAAACTTTAAACATTGGTTTGACATTTGAACCTTGAAAGGGGATAAGCATTGCTTAGTATCCCCAGGAAAAGAATTCTCACAATGGATGGAAAATTTGTTAATGTTATTATGTCTCATAATTATTAAAAAAGGAAATGAGAATGTAAAAGATGTTCAAAGGACATGGGAATGGAGGTATTTTCCAAAATAGAAAAAAATGAGAAAATCTAAGTGATGTGGGTCTGTGTAGGTTTACTATGATATATAAAGGATGAGACAAAAATAATATACACATAATCTTAAAATTTCTAAAGCTACGCTCAGTGGTTAAGAGCACTGACTGCTTTTGCAGAGGACCCAGGTTCAACTTCCAGCATCCACATGGTGGCTACAAACCATCCTTAACTCCAGTTCCAGGGGAATTCAAAGCCCTCTTCTGACTTCCGTGGCATTGCACAACAAGGGTGCACTCACATACATGCAGGCAATACACTCATGCACATAAAATTTTAAAAAATAAATAAGAATATTTTTTAAATGTTATTTAGACAACTATTTCTCATTGAGGATTTTGTTTCTAAGCAGAAAGTGTTGCTCAGATAAGATGTAAGACTTCACATCTTGGTCTTTAATACTGTAGTGCCCACTTGTTGCTAAGGGAGACAACCCACTATTGTTCTAAAATGATGGATAAATTTGTTTTCTCCCCCATCTAGAAACCTTTGAGAGGGAACTGACACTGCTTCTAACCACCCCAACAGCAATCAAAATGCCTGAAAACAAATACTGAATCCATCACTCTTGAGTCCAGCCTTGGAAGACAAAAGAAAAATGAGGAGGAACGCAATAGAGGGATACTTTCAGAAGCTCTAGTCAAGAAATTCCAATGGACTCTGATATGAACATTTAAAATTTTCCCTGTTCTGACTTTTTTTTTTTCCCTATCAAGAACTTGTAATGCTAATTACTCTTGCCTTTACTTCTCATTCACATCTCCTATTCACAATTCAAAGACTTTCTTTTCCTCCTCAAGATAAGAGTTATGCAATTTGGGAGTTTTTTAGATAGACTCACTGAAGGGGTACTCCAGTTGCCTAACCCTGTGTCCCTGTTCAGCATGGAAGAAACCAAAGTGGTCTGTATCCTGATTCCCTATTGGCAATTTGGGTAACCACTTCAGAGGATGGTGTGATAAGAATAGGGGGTAGGAATTGGCTAGGCAGTTAGTGTAAAAAGACTCCAAGAGAAAGTAGCCAGTTTCTTGGCTTAAAGTCAAAATGTCCTTGGGCCTCTCAGCAACATACTCTGTTCCAAAGGCCAAAAACGTCAAAAGTATTTGGGAGCTCTTATCTAATCCCTAAAAGATTTTAGGGTTACCTTTTCAGACGGGGGAATGTTAGAGTAGCAAAAAACTGAAAGGAAGGAAGGGAGGGAGGGAGGGAGAGAGGGAGGGAGGGAAGAGGGAGGGAAGGAAGGAAGGAAGGAAGGAAGGAAGGAAGGAAGGAAGGAAGGAAGGAAGGAAGGAAAGAAGGAAGAAGGGAAGAAAATTTATCAGAAAAAAAGTGATGGAGAGATATGGGAGGGGTTGGAGGGGAGGGAATGGTTATGGATTTGATCAAAGCACCTTATATGCATGTATGAAATTCTCAGTAAAGTTAAAAAAAAACTCTCTAAGCCCACCCCCAGTGACATGCTTCCTCCAACATGGCCACATGCTCTAAGACCTCCCAAAACAGCACCACCAACTGGGGACAAAATGTCCAAATACTTGGAGCCTATGGCAGATGTTTTTATTCAACCCATCACAGACTCCTTTTGGGCTCATTAAGTTTGCTGCTGACCTTGGCAAGTACAGCAGGCAGGAACATGCTAAAGGTTCTTGCAGAATCTCTGGCAGAGAAGTGGTCAGTGAAGGCCATTGTTACCTTGGGGTTGACAAGGCCGGGGTGCTTTCAGTACCTAGTGTCTCTCTGCTGTTGCTAGAATACTTCGCCAGTGTGTGAATCCCCTTGGAGATAAAATTTACTAGTGAGCTATAAAATATAATATTTACTACTGAGCAAAATATTAATATTTTGCAGAAAACACAATATCATGTCTGAGTTAATTTTTAATATTTAAAATGTTTTCCCATGTTGTTCCTTAGCTCTCTTTTCTTTCCTCTCTCCCATGCTTCCTCCCCCTCCCCATCTCCAGTCCTCCTCTCCCCCTCCCTCTCCCTCTTCCTCTCTTTCTCTGCTTTGACCACAGCCTATTCAGCCCCTTTGTTTGGGAAAATTCTATAGTATATACGTTACTCACTGCTGACATTGTTCACCCCTTGATGTGTTTATATTGATTTTTTTCTTGCTGTAGTGTACCCTAAAATGTATTCAGATGACAGATATGATAAAATTATTATGTAATACATGCTCTGTGTGGAATTCAGAGGAAAACCAAGATTCAGTGATGAACAATGCCCCCAAAACACAAGTATGCAGCCATTGTTCAACTGACAATACCATTTCTCTTTTGCACCTTTCACACTTTTCATATTCGAAAATCCCATTTTATTGAGAGCCCATTTTCCTTCTAGTCTCTCTGGATAGAATTTTTTTCCTAGTTTGAGCAGTTTCTAAATAAAGCTCTGTGTTTCAAGACAAGAACAAAGAATATCTTCTGTGACTCTCCTTACTGCCTGTCAGTTGCTTTTCCTGCTATTAGATGAACTGTTCCTACAAAAGAGGACCTAAAGGAGGAAGGGTTTATTCTGGCTCACAGTTACAGTCCGTCCTGGTGAGGAGGTTATAGCACCAGGAGCTTAAGGAGGTAGCTGGTCACACTGCATCCACAGTAAAGAGGCAGAGTGAGGATTTCTGTCCTGCTTAGCTAGCTTTCTCCTTTTTATGCAGTTTAGAACACAAGCCCAGAGAATGGTGCCGCCCACTTTCAGGATGTATCTTCCAACCTCAGTTAACTCAAAATAATCTCTCATAGGTATGGCCAGAGGCTAACTTAATCAAGACAGTCCTCCCCAGGTGTACCCAGATGTGGGGGGTTCCCAGCCAGCGACCCCTGTGCAATGATGACTGGGGATGAGTAAGTGCGCCATTC